ATCTCTATAACTTCCCTACATATTTTTTCATGACTGATCCATCTGTAAGATATTAAACTGTATTGTTTATAATATCAATAAATATAGAAATAATGTACAATAATACAACATTCATAATGATGGTGCCCTTTGGAGTATATCTTACTGTACATTACTTACCGTAATCCCAGCTGAGGCAGATCAAGAGTTCAACACCACCATCAGCTACATAGTTTAAGGTTAGCCTGGGTTACATGAAGCCCTGTCTCACATGAAGCCCTGTCTCAAAAAACAAAACACAAAAATATTTGTGTCACAGTGATTCAATTTTACATTCTTTAATATGAGGCCTTTTTATTTTATTTATTATTTTTTATTTTTCTGTGTGTGTGTGTTGCCTCCATGTATGTGTCCTGCAGTGCCCAAGGAGGTCAGAAAAGGATGTGGGATCCCCTAGAACTGGAGTTATGGACAGTTGTTAGCCGCCATGTGGGTGCTGGGAATTGAACCCAGGTCCTCTGCAAGAACAGCCAGTGCTCTTGATTGCTGAGCCATTTCTCCAGCCCCAAGAGACCATTTTGGACTAGTTGACAACAGTAACTGAAACAGAATAAATATTCACTGGTAAAATTTCTTTGAAACATGATTTTCATCTGCTGTATTTCACCAGAGCTAAAATTTAAATGAATTTGGAAAATGACAATGCAGGAGATTTTGAATATGGATAACATTACTGGTGCGCACGGGCTCTGGGAAGCAAAGCTGCTGGATGTTCCTTCCCAATCTGCAGAGCCAGCTGGCCCAAAGCACAGAGAAAGCTTCAGCACCTGAAAATTCTGCAATAAAATATTGAAAAAATTTTTTAAAGTTTTTGTTTTCCCTAAAGTACATGCATGACCATTGTAAGACTAAGAAAACTTTGCTAGGAGCCCCTCTTGACAACCCTGGGTAACACACACAACGTGGAAGATCTGTAGACTCATCCCTACAGACTGAAACAGGCTTCCAGCGTTTATGGAAAACTAAGATCTATGTGAAATTATCTTTATGGCAAATGTTCCAGCTAGTTATAGCTGAGAGAATAAAATAAGATGTAAATGAACAACGTGAGTGGGAAAACTGCCTGCAGATCCCAAGGCTGTGGAAGCCAGCCTAGTGAGAGAGTTTGAAAGGAAAGCTTCAAGCTCTGTTCCAGTTCTCCAGACTGACACAGACAGAGATCCTAAAAACAGGCTCCACACACATCTCTGAGCAAAAGCCAAGTGCTCAGAGCCAGTCAGAGGCAACACTCAGGAGCCCTGGGGCCTTTTGTGGCTCTGGAAAGTAGGATGTCAGCTTTCTTTTCTCTTGTTTCATTTCAGTTTGCTTTGTTATAAGGAGCATGTTTGGAAGTAGGTAGCTTCCTCCTTTTTCCTGATATACAGTATTTTCTTGCACAATAGCTTCCTAAATTCCAGTTATGAATTTGCATGAGGCAGGATTCTAGGTGCCAGTGTGCCTCCCAGAGTAGAGGGCACTTTCAGGAGGTACCCATGAGGAGTCAGGGACAGGTGGTCTCTCCTGGCCAGGGAATAAGTCAAGGAACTCTCTAGAATTTGGCTTTCTGTTCTGGAGGAGCAGAAGAGTCCAAGTTGAAAGTCTCCCCAGTAATAACCAACCCTCAACCACCTGCTGGATAGAGCTTGAGAACGCCCTGAGGAGGCCTACTGCAGATCTGTCTGAGAGAAGCCCTCTGCCTCCCTCTGCTGGCCATAAAATCCATTTGCAAACCGTCCCACTCCTCCCTACAGGAAGAAAGGCCCAGGGCACCAGGTCTCAACCATACCCAGGCACCAAGGAACTATCACAAAGCCAGAGGCCTGGAAGGCATTCCCCATGTGTCTGAATCCCCTAGGAAATCAGAGCCTGTTCCTTCTTTTCCATTTTTCATTTTAAAATTATTAATATTATTATCATTATTATTATTATTATTGCTCAGATACTGTATAATCAATTCAATACTCTGCTTTGTCAGATGGCTCTGGAGATTCCCTTAGGAGACCAGTGAACAGACCTATGAACTTCCCTTTATCCCTCTTTTGTCTGTCTAATGTATGTGCCCCCAGAAACTTAATCTAAGTAATGGGCAGAGAAAAAGATTTCTTTCCTCTTTTGCAGATGGATAAGGCATCTCCGTTCAGCCAGGACATAATTAACTGAAATCTTTCAGTTCCACAGAGATTTGAGAACACCAGAGACAAGAATTGTTTTCTCCAAAAATTTTTTCAGCACAAAAATGTTTGCTTCATAGACAAAATTTCAAATAATAAACTTTTCTTTAAAAGTCAGTAAAATACTTTATGCTCAATTAAACTTAAATGCCAAACTAGTATTGGTTAATAACAAGAAATTGGCCAGGCATGGTGACACACACCTTTAATCCCAGCACTAGGGAGTTTGAGACAGGCAGATCTCTGCAAATTCAAGGCCTGGTCTACACAGTAAGTCATAGGCCAAATAGAGCTACATAGTAAGACTTTGTCTCAAATAATAATAAAAACAATAACAGGAAATTGTCTCTCCAGCAACTATCTCTCCCTAGCATAGTGCACACAGAACATTTTTCTTCATAGTTAATTCTTTTATCCAATCAGCTGATTCTTACATAAGGACAAGTGTCCACTAAGCCCAGGCTCTAACTGAGTACTAAAGAGATGGAGATTGTCAAGGAGTCTACAGTGGCCAGTGCATAAGGCACACAACGTAGGATAGGCCATTGTCTTCTGCTTCCTAGCATCCAGGATGTCAGTATGTTATTATTGAGGTTAACACTTCCTTTGTGTGTGTGTGTGTGTGTGTGTGTGTGTGTGTGTGTGTGCATGTTGTGTGCATAGGTGTACGAAGGGGTGTGTGCATATGCAGAGGCCAAGGAAAACATTATTGCCTTGAGACAGAGGCTCTTATTGAACCCGAGCTACGCAGATAGCCAGCAAGCCCCAGTGATCCCCCTGTCTCTGCTCCTCACAACACTGGACTAACAGGTGTAGGTAGCCACACCTGGTTTTTACAAGGGTTCTGGAATCTGAATTCAAATACTTGTACAGCAAACCTACTGGGCCATATCTCCAATCCCAGAGGATGGCAATTCTTTGAATCTTTTTTTTTTTATTTTTACAAAAACTTTATTGAGAATTTCATACCTGCATATAAGATGTTTTGATCAAATCCATGCCTGTTCCCTCCCCTCCAACATTCCCCGCTCTGAAGAGGTAACCCTAAAATATTTTAAGGATTAGATACAAGCTCCCAAATACTTTTGACATTTTTGGCCTTTGGAACAGAGTACGTTACTAAGAGGCCCAATGACAGTTTGACTTTTAGCCAAGAAACTGACTACATTTCTTTGGGGTCTTTTTACCCTACCTGCCTAGCCAATTCCTACCTCCTATTCTTATCATGCCATGCTCTGAAGGGATTACCCAAATTGCCAATAGGGAAAAGGGCCCCCAGCC